CTCTCGCTACCTGCCTTAGCCTCTCCAAGGCATGTGCTAAGGTCCTGGGGTTTATAGGATGATTCCACAGCAGCTAATGTGCCATCCTGTACCCACAGGAATATCAGAGAGACACTGAACTGATGTTATAGCCATAAATTCAGGGGTGTACTCAGACCAGACATAATGGTCAAAGGGTCTGAAGGTAAAAAGTTCACACCTAAGTGTTCTGTACCCTGCAATCACTATACATTGTGAAGTCCCTACTTGGCTCAGATGAAATGGTCTCAGGTAACCTTGTTCCAGCTTTCTGACTATGAAAGCCGGCCAACTGAGAAGCTGTTACCTTCCAGAAGGAACGACACGCCCCTCACTTATTCAGACTTTCATCACTCACAACCGTGCACCTGCCGATGCGCTTTGGAACCACTGACCTATACATTTTTGTGCTAGTGTCTTCATTGTGTACCCTATGCTAACCTTCTTCCTGCACCTTAGCAAGTAATTATCATTTGTTTGACTCAAGGAGTAGGTGTATCTGGCCTTACCCCCGAGGGTACCTACTACTATCCGTCAGTACAAAGATGGTGTAAGCCTTCTAGTGACTGACTGGATCAAGTAAGAAAAACAAACAAACAAACTCTACTTTTCTCTTGCACACAGCAGGCACTTAATAAACGCTGGTTAAACTAAGGACTTTACTCCTAAACATAAGTCATCCCCACAGACTAGCTCTAGCAAAGGCAGTGTGAAGAGGGCGTGGACAAGGCATTTTGGCAGCAAGGCACAGAAATCCATTCAAATACATCTGAGTAAAAAGGAGACAAACAAAAGGACAAAGGTGAGTGGCCCAGAAACAAAATACAGAAAGCACAGCTGAGGCTCACAGGTCAACAAGAAGCCACTCTGACTCTCACCTCCTCTTTGGGACCACCTAGTTTCACACTGTTGTCTGTGCACACTTCTGCAGTGGACCCCAGTCCTCTGACCCATCAGGACATGGTCCACACAGGACACCCAACCACGATGGCCTCTGCTCACTTCTGGGAGAAACTTCATCCGCTCACCCTATGGAAGGAGGAAACTAACATCATGAGGTGTGCTGAACATTCTCACTTGGACAGCTGGAGCACACCAAGGCCATTGCTACAAACAACACAAGCTACACTGAAAAATGAGATGCCCCCCAGAAACCAGAATACACAGAAATATTAGTTGTAAAAGCTTTATTTCAGGACGGCTACAGGATGGAATTTCACAGGCATACAATGAATGTATAGCTCTAAATCACAGTAACATTGAATTAAAAACACTTTATCTTGTACAAAAATCGGGCCTGAGAAATTTTCATTTGTATTTTAATCTACTTCTGTTTCACATTATAGCAAAGAGTACACGTAAAAACAACAACACAACTGAAGAGAAACAACAGCTCAGATATCAAGAGAAATGATTTCTAGCTGCACATTACTTATCTTGAGGTCACAGATCTGATAGCTGCAGTTGAAGATCAGGAAATAAGTTAGAGGAAGGTACGTGAACCACGGAAATAATGTCACAAACGAATGCAACCTAGTTCGTTCATTTTAATGCTACAAAGGCCTCTCAAAGCCTCGTTCAGATGGTGTTTACTGTTATTTGCCATACAGTGTGCTGTAACATGATTTCCTAACCTCATCACAAATTAGAGGAAAGCTTTTACAGGCAGACACAGAAATGACAGATAACAGCGAGGGGAAAGAAAATCTCTAAACACCACTTAGGAAATCAGAGAAAACACATTTAGAGTTATTCAGTATAGGAGATTTAACAAAGAATTAAAAATTCTGAAAGAATTAAAAACATAGCTAGGTGTGGTGGTGCATGCCTGTAATCCCAGTACTTGGCAGGCTGAGGCAGGAAGATTGCTGTGAGTTCAAGGCCAGCCTGGGCTACAAAGAGAGTTCAAGGCCGGCCTGAACTGAATAGTGAAATCTTGTCTCAAAAAGACACACATACACAAAAAAAAGGAATTTAAACATAAATGATGATCCTGAAAAGATTTAATTATCTTCAGTAGGTTCTGTTTGCAAAAGTAGGAAATATATATTAAATTGAGAAACAGTTCCATGTCAATGGTTGAAATAAAGAAAAAAACATATACAAATTAAAATAACCTTGAATCGTTTCTCACCATGCACCCTCTAATGTCTGTTAAGTAGAAAATGATTACATACATATGGCTTCTAAAATGCACAACATAATTCATATAAAAAGAATACAGCACCTTTTTAATCCATGTATGATTGAAATGATAACACCCTTTCTGGTAAAAGAATCTCAGTCAGATAAGGATAAGTTAAGTCAACATCTCTCTGCATAACAGCTTTATACTGTGTCTTCAGTGATCAACTATATTGACGAGTGAGCCCTCATGACTGTAAAACCTTCTTAAATGACAGGAGACATGGAGATGAAAAATACCTCCACTAAATCAGTGTTTCTGAAAATGTGGTTGATGGAACAGAAAACCCAAATCGCCCAGAAAACTTCTTTCAAAATGCAGACCGTGTACCCTAAGTGAAACTGCTAAGTCAGAATTCCAGGGGAAGGAAATAAAGGCCTGCATTTTTGCACCCCTCCCTAAGGATGCCTGGTAAACATGGCATTCTGAGAATCACCCAGGACACCTTCCCTTTGAAGTGAAGCCTCAGCAACCCAGAAGGGAAGAGACCCGCCAGGTCTGTGAATCAGCCCTGCCCACTCTTATCCCTACTGTGCCCAGTAACCTGCCCTCCTATGTCCACATTTCTTATACTACACTGTAGATAACATCTACAAAATACACAGAATTTTTAAAAAGCTGCCGGGTATAGTGTTGCAAGCTTGTAATCCCAGCACTCAGGAGAAGCAGGAGGATCATTATGAGTTTGAGGCCAACCTGGGCACATAAGCAATTTCAATAGCCAGTCTGAACTGCATAGTGGGACCCTGACAAAACAAACAAACAAACAAAAAAAACTAGCATGCCCTAATTAATTCTAAAAGGTCTGTAGGATTTCTAAACCACATAAGTGAAGCTGGATGCAATAAATGCCTGCAGGGGTAAAAATACTGAGGAAAAGGGTTTGATGCAGGTCCAGATTACTTGGGAATGAGGAAGAGCATGCATCTAAAAGCAGTTGTGGAAGAAAAGCCAAATGGAGCTATGCCCAGATTACACAAATGCAAATCTATTAAAAGCTGGCTGGGATGTATTGCCCTGCCCGTAACACCTTAGAAGCACAGGCTGAACGTATTGGCTGGCAAACATGCGTAGCCAGTGGAAGGTTTCAAACAATTCCCAATTTGTTGCCAACACATAAAATGAAGAGATTTCTTTTTTAAAAATGTTTGTCTTTTCATGGAAAATTACAGAACTAGAAAAACCAGCCACATAGCCACACAGCACGGGAGCTGAACAGCAGCTGCTCGCTTTCTGCCTGGCGTGCAGTCCTGGGGGTCTCTGCAGTGGCCCTGGACTGCTTCACCCTTTAAACCAGCTACCTTGTCCCTGCAGGCATTTGCCTTGGCCACCAGGGCTTCAAGGAATCAAGCACAACTTTGGCCCCTCTGTGCCTCACTCTACTTCTGATTTTTAAAAATCCCACTAGAAAGATCCTTTCCTACCTCAGCAATGTTAGGAAGAAATTAAATAATAGCCGCAATTACCTGAAATTTGTTTTAGAGTCTCCCCCTGAACTACCCATTAAAGCCATCTGGAGAGTTTTAAAAAATACTGATACCTGGGGTCCATCCCCAGAGATTCTCATTTCTTAGCCCTGAGATCAGGATAGCGTAGAATATTCCCTAATGGACAGCACTGTTAAGAACTCTGACCCTTGGAGAGAATGCAAGTTGTTAAGTATGAAGGGTTACAGTCCAAAGATGCACATCTGACATGAATATACACTTCTCAGATGAAGAAATACAAATGGCATATAAATACATGAAAAAAAGGTTCACCATCACTGGTCATTCGAGAAATGCAAATTAGAACAGCACTGAGATTATCAAGAAATCAACCAACAACAAACACTGGTGAGGCTATACAGAAAAAGGAACCCTTTCCACTGTTGGTGAGAGTGTAGACTGGTAAAACCACTGTCAAAATCAGTCTGGAGATTCCTCAAAAAAACTAAGATTAGAGGTCTCATTTGACCCAGCTATTCTCCTTCTGGGTATTTTTCCAGAAGACTTGAAAACATCATACCACAGCGATATATGTGCACCCCTGTTTATGGCAGCACAATTTGTCATAGCTTAACATTGGAAACAACCTAAATGCCCATAAACTGAGGAATGGGTAAAAAAAGATGTGGTATATTTTTACAATGGAGTACTACTCAGCTATAAAGAAAGATAAATTCGAGGCTTTTATAGGTAAATGGATGCAACTGGAGACTATACTCATAAGTGAAATAAGTCAGACCTGCATGTGTAAACATCGTATTGTCTCCCTAGTGTAAGAAACTGAAAGAGCCAGGCATAGTGGCACATGCCTATAATCCCAGAACTTGGGAGGCTGAGGCAGGAGGATTGTTGCAAGTTCACAGCCAGCCTGGGCTACAAAGTGAGTTCAAAACCAGCCTGAACTGCATAGTGAGACACTATCTCAAAAAGACCAAAAAAAAGAAAAAAAAAAAGAAGAAAAAGAAAAGAAACTGGAAGAGTAAATAAGATCCAAAAGGTACAACAGATATAGTGAAAGGGAAAAAAATTGCTCAAAAGGAAAGAACAACTGGGATGAGGGAAAGGAGAAAAGAAAGAAAGAAGGGGGAAAAAAATATATATATATATATATATTGTGTATATATATATAAACACACACACAAGATAGCTAAGATAATGGTACTACTAACTTCTATTGGTTTATTGAAAGGCGCAGTTAATGCTTATTTCTTTTTTTATCAGTCTTGCATGCCTATATTGAACAAGTACTTCGAAGATAATAATACACAGTATAACAATCATTGTTGATTTTCTATCATCCTGCTGTGAAATTCTGTATCATTTTAATTTTTTATACTTTAAAATAAAAAAAATTTTTTTAAAGTATGAAGGGTTATGTTTATTCCAACATCAGTCTCCAAATGCAAAGTGCTTGCCTCTGACCTCATAATTCACATCACCTCTTACTTTGGGAGAAGGCTATTATTCCAAAAGCCTGCCAAATGGCATTTACAAACTGGAAAAGAAGGTCAAAATATATTCTGATTTCTACCATTCATTTTTCCCTCCAACACAACTAAAGAATAAAACACTAAGGAAATAAAGGGATATTATCCCAAGAGACAAAACTCAGGCAGCACAAATAGCTCAAATAAAATAAGAGAAGGCTCCCAGTGGCAGCCTGGTAAGAAAAAGTACAGTTGCTTTGAAATTCATTGATGCATTAAGTAGAAAAATTGTCAAATATTTAAAAAGAACAATTTCCCCAAGACTTTCCAGTAATGGCCCAATTTTTATCTTAAGAAAATGAATTCCAAATTATTACCTCTCTTCAAGCTTTCTGTTAGGTAGAGTGTGTTTATATTTTGGCTTCCCATCACGGGAAATGCAAGCTACTGTCATCTAATTTTCGAACAGTAACACCACCTTCCCTTACAGTTGAAAGCTGTATCTTCAAAATAGTTTCACATAACAATCTATTTACTGGGCTTCCACTAGGCACCAGCAAGCACAGAGTTAATCCCATCACATTTTATAATTTTTTTAAAAAATGAGCTTCAGAAAGATTTAAAATTATGTTCCTGATCACTGAATAGTACATGGCAGTGCTTGGATTCAAACGCGTATCTGTCTGCCTGACTCCAAACCCGTATTCTGCAAACTAAACTATCTTGTTTAGTTGTCACAAGCCACGGCAGAAAGATCTGTGCCCAATATCCCAATTTTCCCAGTTAAAAAGGCAGTGGAGTGATCTGCTGCACATCACGGAACAAGCTAGAAGGAGCCATGGCAAGAGCCTGCCCTCTCCTCTCCACTCCCTGTTCTTCAGAGGATCAAGCCACAGGTGATGTGTCACATGGTAAAAGCTGTAGGGATAGCACTTGTGTATCACCTCTGGATAGAAATAAATTCTTGATTTCTGACAATCTTAAATATATGGCTTAGTTTCAACACAGGTCTGACACAAGCTTGTCTGTTCCCGGTCCCCTAAAAGCACATATCAGGGTAAACAACTTTACTTGTTCCAGAATCTTCTCATGAATCCTATGAACAGTGATGTTGATAACACGTGAGCAGGACACTTCTGCAGAACTTGATCCTGCCCTTCGCTGCTCTGACACCATCTCAGATGACCAGAAGGACACCCCGAGGAGGACTGGCACCATCTTACATGGATTTTCCCTTTATTTGTAAAATCGTAAAGAGACTGCATCATAAAACTCCAGCTAGAGGGTCTCATTCCCATGAGTCCCACGGTGTGAACAGGCTCCAAGGTAAGTGTGTCATTTGATGTCTTGAAGGATAGTGTCCTCTTCTTTAGACTGCTGACACTATATCCTCAAACCTGTACTCCAGGAACATGCCGATGTTGTAGCCAAGAGGTGATTTTCGAAGAAACAAAGGAAAAAAAAAGCAGACATGGATACAGCTCCCCTGCAAGAGAAAGCAAACAGGTTTTATCACCTAATAAACAAGTCTTGCCAATCAATACTTATTTGCTCTCTTTTCTAAAGCAACTCCTGAGAGTCACTTGAATTTTATCACTATGGATAATTCTTGAAGAAATTGCATTCCTACCTCCTAATGATCTTCAAACCAAGCAAGCACCTCACTTTATTAAGTCCAACTACCAGAGGAACTGGTTCAGAGAGGAGTTTAAGATATAGTTAAAATTGAGGTCTTAATCATTGCAGTGTGATAGAAACTCCACTATGTTATCAAACCTCGGCAAGCCCAGTCTCTCGCCTGCCTGCGGCAAGAACAAACAGATGTCAGGGCTATTTGTTTTATTCAAAAATGACAGGAAATCAAAAATCTATCAAATGGATGTGTCAGGAGCAATGCCACAAGCATATTGGTTAGTGAAATTTATGTGCCTCTATTTTGGCTCATGACAAAAATCACCTTCCAAGCTTTCTAATTTTCAAATGCCCACTTAGACATACAGATCAGAAAAATCTAGGAAGTTATCATCAATAATAGGTACCATATCCCAACTAGTCATAATCTGTGTGACTTTAAATTATGCAAATTTGAGATGGCTTGGGACATAAAATATTAAATAATCTTTCTTCACACACATTTAGGCAAATTCCACAAAATACCTTTTAAAAATTGCAAACTGCAAAGTCCCAATGCTGGCATATTGAGTAAATTGTAAATAGCACCTATATTATGCCACAGCAGAATGCCACTTTATGTGCTAACAAAATGCCCATTTCTACTCCATTGTATATGTGCATTGGAACTTTATGAGCAATTTTAGTGACCACGGTTGCTCATATTTTAGCTCCATTGTTATTGTTTAAATACTCATTTATGCCTTACAGTAGCATCATCTAAATCTTCACAAAGTGATAATGTTAGAATTAATGCAGGGGAGATAAACTGTCAAACTATAAACTTCAAAACAGAGTTAAGGTGTGATTAAATGTTGCACTTTCAAAATGTCAACCATGGTGGTCCATGCCTGTCAGGGAGCTAAGGTAAGAGGACCTCAAGTTTGAGACCAGCCTGGGCAACTCAGTGAGACTTTTCCTCAAAAATTAAATTAAATTAAATTAAATTAAAAGGGTTGGGGATGCAGCTCAGTGGAAGTTCAGTGCCTAGCATGTGTAAGGCCTTGGCTTGATTCCCAAGTCCTGGGGAGGGGAGATCACCACAACAAATTTAGAATCCTAACCCAGGAGACAATAGGCTTTTCCTTTAACAATCAAACAGTTACTATTTTAGATTTATTTTGAAGGCTGTAAGGTCTCTGTCAAAAATATTCAACTCTGCTGCTATTGCTTTAAACATCATCAGAAACATAGCTATATTCCAATAAAGCTGTATTTATGGAAGCACACAGCAGTCTGGATTTAGCTTACATGCTATTAGCCTTCCAACCTCTACTCTCTAACAATGGAACCCCCATTCTTTTAATGCAGCATTTCACTATCCATAAAAGCAGTGGTACCTCCACCTACAACAATCCCATCTTTTCCATTGGGCTACTTTTGAGAAACCAGAAAGTTCCATCACAGCAGAAACTTTTTAAGCATCAAAAACTTTGAAAAAGGTCAAAACACAGTGGTGGGTGACGATACGGTGGCAATATGGTGCAACACCAGAGCCTCAAATTTTCATGTATCATACTTGTGTCCAAACTCACCACCTGTACACTTAAAATTGGCTGATTTAACTATATATAATATCTCAAGTTGATTTTGAGAGGAATTTAAAGCCGCAGCAATAGCCTTTGATTTATAGTAATTGTAGATGTATATGCTTGAGTGTACTTTACATTTGCTCCTCTGAGAAAACCAGTCATGAGTTTTGAGAGTTTGAATATGTAAACAGTTCAGGAATTCTGCGGCATTCACTGCATTAAGTGCCACTGCCCTGTATTAAACTCCTACTAGCATTTAGACCTCAACTGCTTCACTTCAGAGAAAATAAGTTGCTTTTTATAAACAATGCAAAGTCCTGAGTACATGACTTAGCCCTCAACCACAGTAAAAAAGAAAAAGGGGAAGAAAGATAATCTAGGACCACAGGTAATGCTGTCAATGGGTCTGATTTACCATCTTTACTAATAACATTTTAAATCCAAACTAACTTAAAACACAAGTTGAAATAGCCATGTCTCTTTTTAGTTTGTGTTTGCTCCAGCTTAGAGCCTGTGAGCCTTCAAACAATCAAAACAGAAGGCAAATAAGAGGCAGGATGGGAAAACAAGAGAAAAGGTATTCGAGGAAAATCAATCACTCACCCAACTAACCCAGTTAGCCCAACACACACATGACAATTTTAAAACCTCAGCTATTAGTTTTCTCAACGCCCTAGCACTGAATCTGTCTTCATCCACATATGTGTGAACTCATTCAAAGTCATCCTCAAAGTGTGCTCCAGGATCCAGCAAGAGTACCACCTGGGAAGCTGCCAGAAACAGAAGCCCACCCCAGGCTCACTGAATAAGAACTCTGGGAGAGATCCTACTATTCTATGCTTACCAGATCCTCTGGATGATTCTGATGCTTATTTAAGTTGCATAGTCTCTAATCTGAAGTTTGAAAACCAATCATATATACCTTTCCTATGCGCAATGGTTGATGCGCTGTATCAACTTGAAAAATTTAGAAGCTTAATTAAGTGACTCAGCAGATCTTCATCCTAGGATGTAAAGGACATGCCCTCACTGCTCTAGGATGCTGCTCACTGGGTCAACTTGAGAAGCTTAGAAGCTTAACTAAGTATCTCAGCAGGGGGCCAGGGTCCTCACTTTGTAAACATCCTGAGTCTGTGCAAGAGGAGGGCACGGAGATAGTGTGCATGCTACACCCACCCAAGAGCGGGTAGCCTGCTTACAATATAAGGGAAGAAAAGAGACTTGCTTCCCTACTTTTGCTCTTGTTGCTGTCTTCTGCCACCATGAACTGTTGCCCCTCTGCCATGCCACTGTGCTTTGGAGCCAGCTGATTTTGGACTGCAACCTCTACAAACTGTGAGCTAAATAAACCTTTCCTCCCTTAATTTTAAGCATTGGATATTTTGTCCCAGAAAAGAGAGAAAAGTAACTAAGACACTAAGTAAGTGCTGGCCCCTCATTTAACACTGACATTAGAACTACACCCACCAAGGAAAGATGGAATCCATGTGCAAGTTCACATGCATGTGAAGTACTGAGCCTCACAAATATGCCAGCCTAGAAAAGCAGGGAGACATGGCTAAGTTCTGCGCCATAATTTTAAAGAAGTGGGGTGGACAGTGATCAAAAAATACAGTGAATGTTTAAAATTTTTTAAAGTGTATTGCAGTAAATTACATATTGCCACTAATCACCCTCAAAATATGCCTCCTTGCTTCAAATGCACTTATCCTACCATTCTTGCCACTTTCTGAAGCTGTTCTGCAAGTCCTCTTTTGTGAGTGTCTATCTGGTCTGTTACATAGTGGCCTCAATGTCCCAAATTGATTCAAAATGTTTACCTTTAATGGTCATTTTGGCTTTGGGGAAAAGTCAGAAATTGTACAGTGCCATGTCTGGTGATCAAGGTGGGCGAGGATACACTGTAATGTTTTTATGAGCCTGTCTTTCCATTGGATAGCTCTGTTATGGTTTGTGTCTGGGTGTCCCCCCAAAGCCTCATGTAGTCATGGGGCAGGCTTTTAGAGTTTGACTGATTATGAGTGTGAGAGCTGCACCTGCCCTGGGGTGGATAGTTTGCATATGTAAGGGAGAGGAAGAGGCTGCTTGAGGCCATTCCGCCCTGGTGTGTGCTTGTTGATTCAGCTGTGTTCTGCCGCCATGAGCTGTAGCCCTCTGCCATGTGCCACTCTCTGCCTTGTAACTTGCCAAGTGTGGACTGAAACCTCCACAAACTGTAAGCGAAATAAACCTTTCCTTCCTTAATTTTGGGTGTCAGGTATTTTGTCCCAGCAATGAGAGAAAAGTAACCAAGACAAGCGCACAGCAGCAGCATGCACTCTATTTTTATCATACCATATAAAGACACTCGCAGAAGAATACTTCCAGAACTGCTTCAGAAAGTAGCAAGAACAGTGAGATAAATGCATTCAAAGCAAGAGGGAATATTTTGAAAAGGCTTAATGGCAATGTGTCTTTTGCTGTAATACCTTTTTTAAATTTAAATATTCACTATAAAGGACATCCACATATTCAGATTAAATTACAACATTTTACAAGAACCTGCATATACCATGCCTGTACTAAAGGAAATTATCTCATTTAACCCTTCCAATAATATTTAAATCTACTAATATGTAAGTGTACAGAAACTTCATGTTAATCAGAATGTACTTCAACCTGCAAACAAGCAGAAATACAATAATTCTCCAACTGGTGTTTACATATAGGCCTGACTAGCATACTTTGAATGCCAAGGTACTTGGATATATGAGTGTTCCTTTTGTTTTTTTTTTTTTTGTTGTGGTTGTTAAATGCTCTCAAAGTTCATTGTGCACTGCAGTACTTTTAAAAGACCAACAGAAGGTAATTCTGAATTACTCAAGGCAATATTTGCTATACAAAACTTTTACCTTCCCTCAAATGTTAAAAACCTAAGTCCTATAAATTTTGTAAGGTGTAAATCCATTATACTCATTCATTTTGGCATTTATTTTTTTTTTGAACTTTGTCTTTTTATATAACAAAAAAAGAAGATTTCCTTGATGTAGACAGTAGAAATTAAGAATAGGGGAGAAGGACTTTACAGTTTCCCACTGTTAACCCTACACTACTTGCCCCAAACTAGAGGTGACCAGTTTCAACCCTGTGTCCATGGTAGACATTGTTAATTAACTCAAGGTGCTTTCACCCAGAGCTTAAGGATTATTCTTTTATTTTATATAGACAAAAAAAGACAAAATTTGAAAACAAGATGATAGGAAATTAACAAAGGTTATTATATTGCATATTGTTATCTTCAAAGTAGTTGCTCAGATTACCAGGTACAGGCATGCAAAATTGATCAAACAATATAAGTACTAACTGTTCCTTTCAATGAACTAATAGAAATTAGTAGTATAGTTATCTTAGCTAAAAGCATTTCAGGCAGCCACTTTTGAGCAGAGGAAGTACAGATATAATGTTGAATATTTTTTACTTTGGACCAGAAAAGTTTTGGAGTTCATATTTTTTCAGAGTTCAAAACATTTGTAAATTTAAAGATAAGCAACAGGAAACAAACAGGGATGGAGACTTTGTGGAGTTCAAAAGGGTATCTAAGGATGGGGGAGACTGGACAGCTGGCAGCTCAAAATGAAGTAAAAAATGATTGAGATGCAATATTTATATGAACCAGTACCCCAAAGTGAATGTAATTATTATGAATTGAAAACATATACTAATGGAAAAAAGGATATTTGTATATATATGATGAAATATTCTAGAAAAGAGACCATACTATAAACATGAAATTCATTTATATTTCATATATCTTATACTAGGAGCCTGCATGTAAATTTATATAGTATTTTTTGTGTCCTGGTGTCTGACTGCCACTGATCACGTAAGTCAGGTATGAAATTTTCCCCTCATGGCATCCTGTTAGCACTCAGAATGTTTAGGAGTATTTATCTTTGAAGTTTCCAGATTAGAAATGCTCAACCTGCATGACTAATAAGATATATTTGTTTCACTAGCCAATCAACATGTTCGTTTCTTCCTTCCTGCTCCACTTACAGCTTAAAATCTCTTCTTTTATTGTTCTCAGAACAATAAAATTAAGCCTCCGTTAATCCTGAGCTGCAGTCTTTACAAATCTATGCCACTTTGAGAGACCCAACCATGGTAGACTGTGCTGAACAGTTTCAACAATTTGAATGTGGTTGTAACCCAGCACGTAGTACAAAACTGCTCTGAAAATCAAAGAACCAAGTAAATAAAGGCACTGAAAGATAACAAACACCTGTGAAATAGTATTCTGCAGGAATAACTGGGAGATGTACAGCATGAATAGCCCAGGGAGGCTGATGCATAATACCACACTATAAGCATGAAGACACGGCTCAAGTAAATGATTCTGATTTGCTTCTGGTACTCACTGGTGATTCTTTATTTGGCTAAGGGGGCACCACACTGTTCCTTCAGCAGCGTCTCCATTATTCTAATTCCCTACGGAGAGAAGAAAGAAAAATCAAAATGCATACTTCACAGACAAGCATTCTACATTTATCACAGCCCTTCCCTTCAAGGATCCAAGTTACGACATGTATTCAATTCAGGAAAGTAGGATCACAGTCTTCCCTTATGTTTTTTTTGTTTTTGTTTTTGTTTTTGTTTTTTATTTTAAAGATAAAAGGAGGAAAACATTAACAGACATACAACATTTTACTTCCCTTATGTTTTTATGGTACTGTATCCAGAGATATCACATACACATCTCCAGATATGCTCGGGACAACTTGGGGAGACAGGCAGAGCGGAATCTAGGATCTTCACTTTTAACATAAGAAATCAGCCCAAGAGAAGTTTGGCAACTTCTTAAAAGTGATCCAGCTCCTAAGTGGCATTGCCAGGCTGGAACAGCAGCACTGTTAACATTTGCTGACTGCTGACAAATGTGTTGGTTTCACTGTCAAAATTTTGTGTGCATGAACGTGGGTCACGGGTGCTGTGGTACCCGCTGAGACCCCCTCCAGGATGGAGGCACTCCCTCCCCCACCTACCAGGGCTGTGGGCTACAGCTATCCTCGCCCCAAGGGAACTGCCTCACTGAAGTCATGTCCCCTGTCTAGGAGGAACACCATCCAGAAGTGGATATTAGGCCTGGGTCCCTTACCTCAATGAGACAACTGTGCAGGGCACCCCACCCCCACGCCACCGCTCTCCACAAGGTCAGCTGAGACCTTAGCTGCACCTGCATCTGCATCTCAATTACCATCACCTCTTTCCATCCTCCTTCCTCCACTGCCCCCTGCTCCTGACAGCCCTCTCTTATACACTCTGCATGCAAATCTCCATCTCTGAGCCTGGGTCCCTAAAGCTAGCCTACATCACCTTGCTTGATATGCACAAAACCTCAAACAAGTATCATTTTTAGCCCCATTTTACTGATGAGGAAACAGACACTCAAAGAGGTTTAAGGAATTTGCCCAATGTCATACAGCTACCAAGTAATGAAACCAGAAATGCATAGGCACCCTATGCTGTCAGCAGCACCCCCCACCTTCCTGTACAGTTTTTCATGACAGTCCGTGCCAACCTGCCCACCCACCTACCCTGTGCAGAAAATTCTACCCTGGAAAAGATAAAACACCACATATGCTTTTCTTCCTTCAAGGGCAAGTTGTGCACACCAGAGAACTGACTTTCAGATAGAAAGAAGTAGAATGTAATTAAGAGGTAGGGTCTTAAAAACCTCAACACTGGATCTGGGAGGAAAGAGACCTGCTGTTCCCAAGAGGCCAAAAAGAAGTTTAGAGAGAACAGTGATGAAGGGAACTTACAACAGTTTCCCAGGTCCCCTTAAGGTGAATCTGACTTAACAGAACTAAACCAGGCCCCAGAGCTCTATGCTTTTAATAAGAACTTATGTGATGCCTTTCAGACGAAGCTGGGCTGAGTGGGCCAATAGGAAAAAGGTACAGACTTCCTATTGGGGTTTGTTCTGAGCCAAGCAAGGGATGCGGATGGGGAGTAATCAAAGGCATTTCTAGAGAACACAATGAAATATATTTAACATCAGAGTTGTCTGAATGAGGTCTGATTCCGAAAGTTGTTCAGATTCTGCCAGAGCCGATACTCTAAATGCTGCCAGTGTTTTGGAAGGCAAAGACATTAAAGAATTTTGAGAGATGCTGAGCTACAGGAAGCACTGGTTGAACCAAAGCAGCACACTGCAGGGCCTGGCACTGTCACTAGAGCCAAGAGATCTGGGTCCTCGTCACACCTCCACCAGTCACTCTGCTGGGGACCTTAGCTAATCATTTTCACCATGGCCACATAAGACTAAAGATACCTGGGGACTATAAGGCCAGTTGGCTTAGTGTCCTTTACACCCAGCTGCCCACCAGAATTAGCAGGGAAACCCACCAAAGCAAATTCAGACTCCCAAGCTCCACCAGTGACTCAGTAAGAAACCCCAGGGCTGGGGCCTCAAATCTGTATTTACAACATGCTTCCTGAGATTCCAAAACACAACTAGTTCACATACTAGGATTTGTAAAGAGCAGCTTTATACAACCTCTGAGATCCCTTGTGTTATGGTTTGCGTCTAGATGTTGCCCAATGCCTCATGCAGTCATAGGAGCCGGTTTTTCAGAGGTGACTGAATCAGGAGTGTGTGACTGATTCATAGTGCAATGGGATAAGAGTGCTGGCATTAAGCATAGGTGACTGCTGGATCAGTCCACTGACTAGACTGGCGCCACCCTAATCCTGGTAGACTGGATACAACATAAGAGAAAGAGGCTGCCTTCTTTCTCTCTTTTGTTGCTTTTGCTGTCCTCTGCCACCATGAATAGTTGTCTACTCAGCCTTGGAGACAGTGGATTATGGACTGAAACCTCCACAACCTGTGAGCTAAATAAACTTTTCCCCCCTTTAACTCTGGGTGTTGGGTATTTTGTCCCAGCAACAAGAGAAAAGTAACTAAGAGAGCTTGTAACTCTGCTGGACTGGGAATTGATAAAATAGGTTGTCCTTAGTAATTCTGATGAGGTAGTATGTACTATATATTCTTAGTGCCACTCTCTTTTTTAAAACAAATTTGGGGAAAAGACACAGGGAGGTGAATCAAAACCTGGATCATGGGCTGGGGATTTAGCTCAGCGGCAAAAGCGCCTGCCTGGCAAGCGCAAGGTCGTGAGTTCGGTTCCCGGTACCGGAGAAAAATAAAAACAAAAAACAAAAAAAAAAAAAAAAAAAAACAAAACCTGGATCATGCTCTTTCTGATCATTCAACAATAAATCCAATTAACAAATATTTATTATGTACCTACTACAATACATGTGCTGGAGATTAAGTCGTGAACAAACCAGACAAAGTCCCCAGCCTTATAAAGCTCACAGTCTAGTAAATTCCAGAAAATTTTCATTGCCTTGTTTTGGTTTGGTTTGGTTTGGTTTCAATGAACCCCTGGACAACAAATAAACACCCTACTTCTATTTTCATGAAGAATAAAAATAATCATAAAAATTCATTTTCCATTTTCTTTTTGCAAGACAGGTGCATAAATCTAGAAGTTATCTTTAAATCGAGAAAAGCACACTCCTTCCTAGGGAAGTGAGAATCCATGTACTGTCCTCTCCCATCCATCTAAATTAAGACCGCTACCTTTTACTGGGCTGAACACTAATTGACATAAGTGAAGATGCTGAGGTTTGCCTTGGGAATTGAAAGACGTTATTTACCGAATCAATTATGCTCACAAGGTGACAGTTGGTTTTTCTCTCCCTCTTTTCCCTCTCTCATCCCACTTTAGTCTTTTTAAGAATAGCCAGAAATAGAGGGTAGAGAATGTGGGCAGGGAGAGAGTGAATTTAAAAAGCTAACAGGGAGGCCAACCATTATTTAGTACCTCTCTTTGATAAGGAAGAACCAAATCAAATCCCAATCGATAGAGTTCTTTCAAATAAAGTTCATTCCAACACTTAAATCTCAACCCCCAGGAGAGCAGGCTTAAAGGGGCTAAATTTCCACCACTTATCACACAATGATGCCTGAAATGCAGAACAAACATTAAATGGAAACACCTTTACAGATATGGCTTAAAAGCTTTTCGGACTGACAAACCATAAACCAGCTTGATTTTATTATTTCTTTCCCCTCAGAGAATTTCTTTTCTCTATTACAAGGCTATCTTTCTCCATTTGTCAATGTACAGATAAGTAAGCTATCTCACAGGCTCATTTCCCTAATACCAGAGCTGGGCTGCCCAAACTATTCCCACAAAGGAATCGCAGAGCTTTTCGGATTCAAAACATTTCACCAATTCCCACTCTGCTTCTGAGGAATGGCTGGAAATTGTGGGAAAAACAAAGCTTGTCTTAAGAGGAACGGAAATAAGCTAGAACAAAAGATGGCTACATACAGGCAGTATATTTATTTTGTTATCAAAACAACGAGGCTTTAAGAAGCTCTGATTCACCTAGGAGGCTCCAAAGAGTAATATTAGACCTTACAAAAATTACAGAGTTCTAAAGCAGATCTCAAAAGGCACATCCATGCCTAGCACTTAACAAGAGAGAACTGCTCACTTAATTATGATGGTGATGAAGGACTGGTGTTAAAGACACCCCCTGGAAATAATGTTTCCTGGAGGGTCATGGCTTTGGAACAAATATCATGAACCGCACCAGGGCCCACAGGGTATGTCAGGAACTGTGCTGACAGTGTGGGGCACGGGGATGGATAAAGGACATGATGCCCCTACATATGGGCTCATTGGTCTCTTGGGAGGAAATGGAGGAATGAAAAATATGTGAGAGACAAGGCAGCCTCTGAGAAGTGCTACAACCTACACAAGAAAAAAAAACAATGGTAAAAAGGAAGTAGAGACTAATCTTGCGGGAAGGGAGGACTTGGAGCAGGACTGGAAAAGGAGAGACGTGGAGGCCAAGTCTGGTCTGGAGTGTGACACACAGAGATAAGGGAGAAACCCTGGCAGAAGGAGGCTTAAGAAGAGGCTCGAGGGTGAGACCTGCATGCAACACTCTCTCCCCATCAAGCAATGGCCTTCCTGAAGGCCGGGAGAGCAGATAGCCCGAGACAAGGCCAGTACACTTCCCACCTTCCCACTCCCACCCCGACACACTGATTCCCACCTTCGTTCTGCTCTTACCTAGAAGAGACAAGAGCACATCAGATCTCCCTGTATTTAATCACAAAGGGCACTGTAACAGCAATCACTCTCTTAGAGAGAGAGATCTGGGGTCACGTCCAAGCTAGGTGTGAGAGCCAGTGCAAGATCCTAAATTCTGTAAGCCTCCAATTTGAATTTTGAATAGAAGTGGTAGCATGGGTTTGTCCTAATGAATTAGTTGAAATAACACATAATTTGGTTATCCCAGTACCTAGCATTAAAATACTAGTTTTTGACCGGGCATGGTGGCACATACCTATAATCCTAGCACTCCAGGAGGCAGAAGCAGGGAGATCACAAGTTAGAGTC